TTATTCACATTTAGCTGCACGATGTGGTACACGTGTAGACTTCTTTCTCGTCTTATCCTTCTGTCGCTGACTTYGTTTTTAGCACATTTTTCTGCACAGCAGGGCCCAACATGGACCCCTGAACACCCACACACCAGCTAGCTGTGAGTATTTCTATGGGTTGAGTCTGTCTCGAGTTCAAACTCATAAGGCCTTAGCTGGGTCTGCCCTGTATAGAACCACCAGGCCCTATATTTATCCCGCTCTCCTCTCCAGAGTGACTAATATGGGCAGAGGCTGGAGGAGGGGGTCGCCCAGTTATCGGCCCACTATGCAGAGTGGTCCTTACATAGTGAGGATTGTGTCTGACTGTTGCCCTAACAAGTACCCACAGCCTCACTTTAGTCCAGAGTCACTGCTGGGTGAAAGCCAAATGATGACCCGGCCCAGTCTCCGATTGGGTCTTCTGGTTTTATCTGTTGTACTTCAAAGCCCACCTCCAATTCACTCACTTTGTGGAGTCAGATTTAACTGACCCTGTTGCCCTCAATCTTTACCTTACTCAATATGACTCTGTTTGTTTTGTTTCTCTTATCAATTTGAAACAAGAACATATTTAACTTTTTAGGCTATTTTTGTTAGCGTGATCGTTACAACATATTTAACCACTGCAGTTCATCCGGGTGCATTCTGTCAGGACAAGTTAATCACCTCTCTTGGTCTAAGGCAGGGGTGCCCAAACATTTTCCCTGAGAGGGCCGAAATTCAAATCAATCTGAGGGCCACGGGCCAAATGCAATAATAWATGAAATGCAAAGTAAAGTTGTTTTTATTTTTTATGATTAAGCTAGCAGCCTGTGTGGTTGCCCACTTTTTTTATTCAGCCCAYGGACATGGAGAAAATTCAAYGTAWGCTCAGGCAGCAMAGGCTCATGGGACTTTTCACATTTAAAAATTTTAATATATGTAGTCTTATAAGGTGTGCAAATCTAGATACRGGCTTAAATCTAATCTAAATGTCAATCTAATAACCAGGACAACTGCTGGTGGGCCAAATCAAGTGGCTTGGCAGGCCAATTTTGGCCTGCAGGCCCCACTTTGGGCACCTCTGGTCTAAGGGTTTCATTGGTAAGATGTTAGAAAAATGCATTTTGTTTGAAAAACAGAGCGTAACCTAAGATAAGTTTCTTCAATTAAAATTGAACGGTGTAAAACGTGAAGTTCCCAACGCCTAAAAAGAGATGTATTCCAACTGCTGTGTTAGTTAAACATTTATACTCCTGATTTATTCAATTATCAAACATGGTGCATGAAAATATTAAAGGAACAGTTCAGACATTTGAAATGGCTCATTAAACAGCCAGAGTTTAATTCTGACGTTACAGACRAGCTCACAGGTATGACGAACCAAGGTCAGACGATTTGATGGTATTTTAAAATGAGACTGCTCCTGCTCTCAGTTTTGCATTAAACATACAAACAGTAGCATAAAAGTCTTACTGGAAGTCCTACAGCTAACTGCTGCTGCTATTTGAATTTTCAAATACAGTAACTACTGTCTAAAAACTTATGTAAATAACTAACGTGAAACTGATTATAATGTAAAGGTTTATGAAATAGTTTTTTTTTTTTTTTGCATGAATTTCTAATAAAGTCGGTGGGATTTGAGACAATAAAAGACTGCAGTAATCTATTTTTGTTTTGGCTCTGCTCAGATTAGCCATTAGCATGAGTTTATTCCTTCAAGGAGCCATGGTTGTTCATAAGCTTTCAAAAGACTTCGAGTATATCCTTAAAGGTTTGACATCAGTGAAAGGCCGATTATGTGTTTCGTTCTTACAAGAGAAGAATCAAGGAGCTTCCTGTTGGCTCGTTTGTGGGTTCTAATCTGGACTACTTCCCAGGGTCCAGAACCTGGTCTCATAGCTACCAGTAGGTCCAGTGYTCACTTCTGCTGTCGGAGTAAAGATTCTCTGTACAGTAGTTTGACCCTGATACCTATCAATAGCAGAGACTTTTAAAGGACTACAGTATTTTTAGCTGCTGTATTTGAGAGTCTGTCACAGGCCCAGCTTCTGCAACAGTCAGGTTTATGTTTCCCTCGCTGTATTTCTAGGTGCAGGTGTAAAAATGTGTCCTTCGTGTGGGTTTGTGTCCATCCATGAGATTCTTGGGATGGCGTTTCGGTCCACATGACATTGCCCAGTGGCTCGATTACATTCAGACAAGTACAGTTCATTAGTCAGCATGTGAGCGCAGTGGGAGATAGTACAGCAGGAACTGGGGGAACGTCGGAAGTCGTAAAGTAGGTCAAAGTTTTGAGAAATCCAGAGACCAAAAAAAAAAAAAAAAAAAAACAGAGGGGAAGAGTGAGAGGAAACATCTGGGGTCAAGGGGGTGGGTGGGTTGTGGGAAATGAGCCGGGGTTGTGTTTTTGCTCTCGTGTGTCTGTTTTCTCTTGATTCTCTGGTCTCCACAGAGCTCAGGAAAGTCCGTTGGAGGGAGCACCGCCGACAGAAAGGCCCTGACTGACAGGCAGCACCGTGRTTTTATGAAACTGAAATAGTTGAACCTGATGAACTACAGTTGGGCTCAGTTAATGAAGATTGTTGCGAGTCCACTGCCAAACATTCAGGCTCTACTTTCCAACAAAGTGTTTATTATCAAAATAAATATATCAAATAAGTCAAATGTTATTTTGACTTCAAAAGGTTTGCAGTTTTGTCACCACCTATCATTAATATACATTTATGAACCTAAGACAAATTCATGCTTAAATCCTGACCCCTGAGGCTACGAAACCACTTTCCTTTTTTCTTTTCTTTTTTTGAAGCAGAACTGGTTGGTCCACTTCATGAATCAGTGTTTCCTCTTGTTACAGTAGCTATGTGTGTTGAGGACAAACTGCACTGAGCAGTGAGGTTAATCTTCATCTCATTTATCTCCTAAAAACATTCACTTCATTTATAATAATATGCTCTGTGAAATATTTCAAAACTACAAGTCAGTGATTCTCAAACCTTTCCTCCTGTATCCCTCCTTTTAAAGAAGGCTAAATTTCCAGCCTACATTTTCTAAAGAAAACTAAAAGAAAATAAGCAAAGTAAATGGTAAAATAAAAACCTCAAAATCTGCTTTGATTGAAAGAAAAAATCTTTGTAAACAATGAGTAAAACTCAAATGATGACTTAGGTTTTGTGACTTTTTTTATTGTTTGGACTGCGTTTTCTAAAAAAAAAAAAAAACAGGAACAACATGTTGCAACAATAAAATAAGCTGCTGTTTATGTAAAAATAGAATAAAACCAAATGAGCTCGCAGCTTTTTAAAACTAGAACAGCAAAGTTCAGTTTGTGCACAGACACCACACATTTGAAGAACTTCACATTATTGCTGTGTTGTTAGCAGTGAGTCTGTTTTTAMTGTAGATATTTAACAGAGTACAATAAGGGCTGATCTGTGCAAAAAAGAACAGGCAGAAATATTGATTATTAGTGAGTTTTCCCGTACTTTATCAGAGTGTTTGGGAATTTGTCTTTACCRCTGCTGGTTTTAAAGTGATTACTTTCTTCTGGTTATCAACTTTTCTTTTTAAAGACCAGAGTAGATAACACTAACATGATTGGGTGTTTTTTTTTTTCTTTGACTTTTACCCTTCACTGTAATTCCAACAGGAAGATATCCATCCTCTTATTTCTTTGCTCACGGTTCACTGAGGAGCAGTTTGACTCTCAGATCCAGCACCACACTTCATATCGCTCCGACTCACACAGTCCTTGATTTTTAAAGTGACTCCTGCTCCAGCCAGCAAAATGTGCTTCAAAACTTCCCCTTTCCTCTCAGCTCATCCTCCCTTACATCTGGACGGTGTCCTGGCTGACGAGTGAAGAAGTGGACCTACTCTTGTGCTGCGCGGTCTGTGTCCGGTYGCTTTGGAAAGGCTGCTTGTGTAACACAAAAACAAGCCCGGGTTGCAACATTCAAAAGTCCAAACATTAGTTCCTGAGATTAAAATGTATATTATGTGTATATTATGTAAAAATAATAGGAGTAATTTATGTCCTTCAAGGCTTTTGCCCCACATTTCAAGCTTTAGATAAAGCTCTCAGTTTTTTTTCTTACAGTGGAAAGTGTTTTAGCAGAAACATGTTTAGTTTAAAGATCCATATTAAGCTGATTATCATGACTGAGTCTGTTCACATATTTCTGTTTAGATGCATGTAGTTTCTGCAGAGTCAGCACGTCTGTGTGTGTTTTAGTGATCGGATGGATTTTTTTTTTCCTCCTTCTTTGGAGGCTACTTCAAACTTCTAGTCAAAAGTGTAATTATTTTTTATTATTATTTTTTTGGTCATCTTTCACATTAGTGAAGTAAACCTGAACACAACGCCTGGTGTCCAAACCTCATCCAGTCCCACTTCAGTCTCACACACTCCAACCTGTTTTATGGGATTTAAACACTGACTTCAGTTTCTTTCTTAAACTTATGTTAAATCCAACCTGCTTTATTGTAGAGTTGTGTGTCGGCTCGCACTTCTCGCTCCCATGCCTTCCCTCCCTGCACCCCCTGGTCTCCTCCCCGCTGGCAGCTGTTGCAGTGTGAGTAAGTGTGTGAGTGTAATCCAGCTGTGTGGAGGAGCAGGGAACATTGTGTTCTGAGTTCTCACTGGAGCTTGGATCTTGTTTTTGAACGGATCGCTCTGACAGCTCTGGTTTTGGGAGCGTGCRGGCCACAGATGAGTTGAATAGAGCATTGTGACCCATGACACCCCCCACCCCCTTCTTTTTTTTTTCTTCTTAATTTCCTGGCCCACATAGCGTGCTTGTTTTTGGAAAGTTGGGGACAACATGTGCAAGGAAGGGAATGAGTTACATTTAAAGTTAGGTTACACCAAAGATATGTGATGTGGTTGGATAACTTGGCTGAACCCCCCCATACCCCACAATGCATCCCAGTATTTTACTCATGTCTCATTTATTTATCTTTTTTTTTTACATTTTTGCTTTGCTTTTCTGTTGCAGCATCAGTGAGAGCTTCCTCACAGTGAAAGGTGCAGCTCTCTTCCTCCCCAGGGGGAAAAGCCCCACGCCAAACACTGCACCTCGGATCAGCCAGCGCAGGAACAAGCATACAGGTGAAGACTTGTACCGACTAATGGGACTGCTAATTCRATTATAACTCAGCAGCAAAAAAAGGTTTCAATCCTAAATGGGCCAAAAACTGTTAAAGTGGAGGGGAGCAAACATCCATGCTTGTTTTGCATAAAGTAATTTTGGTAAAGTCGATTTGTTAGGCTTCTATTTCAAATACTTAATATCACTCCATTTAAACACTTTACTGTCAACTTTAAATTACACCGTTATTTAAATACAAGTACAGGCTGAAATGGCACCAGTAGCAGCCAGCTGTAGCACTTYATGTGCCACAGCTTCATGTGTGGGATATATTGTCCTAGGCCTAACCTGTATACCCAGAATAGGGCCAGAATATACCTATCTACCTATATATACCCATAATCCAACTTTTGTACCATAATCATACCAAATGTTTAGAATATTAAGATTTAAATCAGTTGTCAAAGCTAACCCCCTAATGAAATGTTAAAATTTATGTACTAAAAGTTTTGTAGTGACTCAACACTACTGGTATCAATGGGGTATAATCTGGCCTTGGGTATGAATAGGCTTAAGCCATAATATACCCGGGTATAATCTAGCCTAGACCCCTTTAACCCCAGGTATAGTCTGGACTGCGAGTATACATAGCGTGTTAAACTGGCACATTCCCAGCAGCGTACAGGTTGAAATATTAACTAACACCAGACTGGAGTCATGTACATTAGCTTAGCTGCTTTCACACTAGCCTTTAGCTGGTCAGTCTTGTCAGATGTGAACTCCTAATTTGTCGAGCTTCAAGCAGCTTTAATAGATGAGTTATTATTMATAACTCCACAACACAATAACTGGAAAATCCCTCTAAGGTAATTCTTAACCTGAGTGAAGCAGACTGTTGTGCTTCAGAGGAAATGACACATTATTTGTGGTTTTATGTCTGTCTATGACTAAGACTGTRATTATATTCTAGAAAACACCTAAACTAAATGTRAACTTCTRTTCATTTGGTCTAGGTGACCTCCAGAAACATCTCCAGACCATGTTTACTGTGCTGCGCCCAGAGGACACTATCCGACTGGTCAGTACCACACACACACACACACACACACACACACACACACACACACACACACA